GTCTTGGCCTTCTTAAAGGCTCTTGCCCTCTTCTTATACGACTGCGAACGCTCCTGATCCGTTTGGTTTGTCTCTGGGTTTTGGACCTCAGCGGCATTTTCGTTTGGTTGGGATTGATCCTCTCAACTAAGAAAAGTAAAAAGTCCAAGTGTCGCTGGTGAAGTAGGGCCCATCCTTATTCGCGCTTCAGTTTCTTCCTATTGACAAATATTATAATATTAAATATTGAGTATCCAAATATCCAGAGCTTCCCAGGCGCAGCATGGCATTAGTGAAACAAATAGTTTATCCACAGGTGTAAGAAAAAGTGAGATTTTCGCGCATTATAGATGTATTGCGTTGTGATAGATACGGCCCAACACTATATAGTGTGAGCAATTTCGTTTCGCAATAAAGCGTATAATTAGTATTCGGATCTAACTACGTCAGTTTGGGTGCACTTGACTCGCAGCAGTAACACTCAGATATTCACAATAATGTATTTTATTGATTAGACATTGAATTAATTATAAACCTTACATATCGAATAGCCTGGTATGAACGCCAGTTTAACTCCGCTGTACACTGTAGAGACTGACTCCACTGTGATGAATAGCTAAAAATGCTTCAGTGGGTAGTAGGGAAGAATTTGTAGACTGATAATGTGGCGGGGGAGGAAGTAGGCAGGTTTATAAAGGCGCCGGCTCGGTAACCAATTCCGGTGATAGTCCAGACCTAGAACTTTATGTTTTCGTAGGATCGTACTTGCTTAAACTTTGACCTGGTGATTTGCCACAGTGATCGACATGTATTGAAAAACAGACAGGTGAAGTGCGAAACATTAGCATCTCCATTCTACAAGACTTATTTTTCAAGATGATTATTACGAATTTGTGTTTAACTCAAATTTTCAATAAATGGTGTATCATACGTAAATATAAACATTTTTGCGACTGTTATCTATTGGATAGTAAGCCTAATATTGACGAACACACGAAATGCAAATGCATACCATGGTCGCTACCGTGTTCGTCAAAACTAGGCGTACTATTCGATCTCGTGCGAATAGTTCATAATTGTATTAATAGGTACACGAATCGTAGTGCAGTTGCTGCCGCGAAGTACCTTGTCGTAGGGTCGAGATACACAATGAGATGTGGACGGGTGCGTCCGTATCCAAGGTTACGGTACTTAGATATGATACCAAAATATGATGGTGAGTTTACGGGACAATTCATAGTGACTAATACTGTAAC